AAACATATTCCTTCGATCCAAAAAGAATCAGGGTAATTAACCCCTTTTGTTTTTATCATTGACCGAGCCATCTTCTATTCTTCTGTTCCACGACACCATTTTGCTTCAGTGTCTGTGGCGTTATAACTTCTCGTTTTAATGCCCTATTTATCACTAGATTCTTTTGAGAGAAACCCACCACGATGATATGTTTGTTTTTTCACCAAAGCTTTGAATTGTTTGAAGTGCTCAAAAGCTTAAGACTTGAGCTTCAATAAGTAGAGCCAACTCATCCTATTGTAGTCATCTATAAATAGCAAGAATACTTGTTTCACTATAACAAAATTAGGTTTATAGGACGCCCATAATCTTTAAGTGTTTAAATAGACCCTTTTTTAGGACTTAATTTATAGGAACAAAATATAAAGTGTCCCATCTAAATGTGTTGTAATAAGTTTATATGACGTTTTTGGGCGTCTTAACAAGTTTTTGAGGACATTTTTAATACAAAATGCCACATTAGCAACTTTATAAGACACTTTTGAGAAATTGTCCTATAAACTTAATTTTTTATAAGACACTTGTTTTTATAGAACAATTTTCCAATAATGAGACGCTTTATATTAAAAGTGTCCTAAAAAACTTATTACGATATCAAAAAATACCATATAAACTTATTACAACATCTTTAAATAGGACACTTTATTTTTTTGGTCCTATAAACTAAGTCCTATAAAGAGATATTTAAAACGTTTAGAATTTGAGAGTGTCCTCTAAACCCGATTCTATTGTAGTGTTTCCTTGACCATTTCATCTTTCTTAATTTGTAATTGTTTTGGTATATATATATATTTCAAAGCTTAGAGTACTGTATCAATGGAGAGATGAGAGAATCCTTGTTTTTTGCATCAGATGAACTACAATTACGTTTAGTAAGAAAGACGTAAACATGGAATTTAATGGCGGATGCTGATCAAATTACTCCCACAAAGACAGTTTGAGGTTCAAGTCTACAATTTCAGTAGCTTCTTCTCTCTGGTCTTGCTTCAGATTCTGGTCATCACCTACAGGATGATGATGATGATGATGATTAGGAGGTGTGAAATCTTGCAATTTAAAAGAGGGAACCCAACAGAGGGTAGTGGGGGTGGAGGAAGATGGTGATTGGAGTTGCAGATGATCTGAATTTCTGGGTTTTTTAGCTCTTCTGCTTGTTTTTTCGATCTCCGTCAACTCCTCCCTTCTCCGATCTCGTGCTTCTTTGAAGCTTCTGATGAGTGAAAAAAACATCTCCATCTTCTTCTCATCATCATCGTCATCGTGGTCGTCGTCATGATGATGATGGTCTTGTTGTTTTCCGGTGGATGTCATCATTTTCCGATGAGTTTCCATGAGCATTAATTAAGTATCAGCAGATGGAGATGGTGGAGATCATTAGAAAGAGATACTTGTATATATATATACATACATAAGAGAGAGAGAGAGAGAGAGAGAGAGAAGGAAGGTGGGGTGGCTGCCATGGTTTTGGATTCTGGTGATACCTCGTCACTGACCCTATTTACATGACATTGTCTGTCTGACGTCATAACATGACGTAAGCTTAACCTACGTCAAGAAAAGGTTTGGTAAAATTTGATCTCTACTAAAAGTTTGACTATTTTTTTTAATTTAATTTTGTTTACATGTTAAATTCTAATAATTACTTATTGATTATTTTATTTTATTGATTATTTTATTTATTTAAAGAAAACACAGACTTAGGGGCCGTTTACCAAATACTTACTTGGGTAAGCGCTTACCAAGTTATATTACCTTACCGCATAAATATGATAGAGACCAAAAATCTTACCCGATAAGAACGAGGCAAGGACCGATAGTCTTACCCGATAAATGAAGACAATGATTCGTACCACAGTCAGCTCTTACCGGTTAAATTGTTGCATAAAAAACTGTTTTGTTGATTAAAATCTTACTCGGTAAGTAAATAATAATATTAAATTTTTCTGGTAAATACTTACCGGGTAAATGTTTGGTAAACCGCCATTAACTTTATTACCACTTAGGGGCTGTTTGGCAGTTGCTGAATGATTTATGCAAAATAGTTAAGAGGTCAGAATGGTTAAGAGGGTCAGAATGGTTAAGTGCTGAATGAAATAATGTTGTTTGGTAACTGTTCTCTGAATGACAGTAAAATTACCATTTTAACYCTCTGAATGATTYRGTAYYGAATGAAATAAAGCTGTTTGGCTGATATCTGAATGAAACAATAATTTTACAAAAATAACTACATATTTCATATTAATCCAAACAAACGTAACATTATTATTCGAAACAAGATTTCATATTAGTCCAACCAAACATAATTTTTCAAATTCATGAATAAACAATAACATAACCTAGAAGCCAGAGCTTAGTTGGATTAATTACTCGTATTCTTGATGAGCAGAGTCCAGTCTTTGTGGTTGTTTTACTTCTTATATATATATATATGGTCTTAGGAGCCTTTGCAAATGACCCTTTAGTCCCAACATTGTAACAAATCATCCCACATAGATAGAAAATGGGATTTGATGAGCTCCTTATAAGCCTCAAGTTATGGTCTACTAATAACTTCCACTGTGGTTTTAAGTCGAATTCGAAGTTATTGGGTCAGCTTTGGGTGTTAGAATCATGTAGGGAGGCATAGGATCACATGCATCAAGGACATATAACCCTTGTTTTGGAAGAGACCCATTTGATTTGAGAGTTTGGAAAGGAATCTATTTGAGTACCTCCACTTGTTATTAACAGCTTTTCCTAAGGTACAGTTACTCTTAGTCAAAGGACAATTATTCTCAGCCAACTTGAATAGTTTTGAAGTACAATCTAGTTACAGTTTTTTACTTGATCCTAGATATGGCAGTTCTAAGTCAACTTGAAACACAAGGAATTGGAATGGGTTTGGTCCTCGGAAGTTTGTTTAAAAAAAGTGAGAATCCAACAAACCCAGTATTTCCCACCTAGAACTGGAGATGGTAAGATGTATGCAGACCCGACCTCTACCTCTCTTCCAAATGATAGAGCGGATGTCTAAATCTTGTAAAAGTTACAACATTAGGTCATGGGTCGAAGTCATTGAATCCGTCGGCAAACTTGTAGGAGCCAGCCAACGGGTATACAAGGGTTGATGGAAGAATTAATGAAAAAATAAATAGGGAGGGCCATTAAAAAGGATCCGTTGGTGCTTTTGATCTGTATCTTTATCTGTCATATTGTTTTTATGATACAAGTGATGATGATTGTGATGGGGGTCAAAAGAGGAGGATCCTAGACGGTGGTGGTGTCTAGTCAAACTGTGGTGGCCGGTGGTGGCTCCGCTCCGCCCCGACTTCCCCCCATCTTTATTGAAATATGTTAAAGAGGAAGAGTGAGGCTTCCCTTTAGAACTTTGCAGGCTGCTGCATTGGGTAAGTTTTGGTTTTTTTTTTTTTTTCATCTTCAAATCTCTTTCACACATAGGGAACTTGCTAAACTTTCTGTTTTCTCTTTGTATGTGTGTGTGTGTATATATATATATATATATATATATGTATGTATATATAATTATATAATTTTGTGAAAAAAGGGTGCATAGGATTCCTAACACCCATTTATTTTATATATAATTTTTGT